TAACCCATGAATTTATTGTGAAAAGAATGCTCACAATTATACAGAGGTGATCAATAATTCTCTTCCATGTTATTTATCTAAACTGAACTCTTCCTTCATACTCACCCTAAGGTTAGAACTTTTCCAATTGATCCTTTAGCAGACCTCGCCACATCGGTAGGATATTGATTAATTTAGGAACAGGAAAAATTACATTTACGGATACAATTTTGTTTGGGTTAGTAGTTAGTATAGTTCTACTCGACATCCATTTTTACAGATTGGAAAAGGGAGTTTGCACAACACCTCTAGTAGCATATTCCATAGAAAAAATGTGATTGAATTTTAAAAAAAAAATGGGCATTCCCTTATCTGTTATTACTCTAAGGACCGGCTTATTTATCTTCTGATAAACTGTCAGGTATGCAATCTGACGGATCAAAAGGCTATCTGTTACCCCATTGGTCGGCCAGTTATCTAACGACCAATAGAATTATAGAACGGTAGATTTATCTTGCAGATAGTTACCAGCTAGTTTATCTGAAGATGAATAAACCTGGCCTAAGTCAGAATAATCAATTTTTTTATAAAGAATTTTGACATGTTCAGAAAACTTAAGGTTTTTATCCATTGTTAAGCCAAGAAATTTATTCGATTCAGGATTCGAGAAACCTTCATTTTCCAGGTGAATATTGTTAATGACACACTTAAAATTAAGAATATTAATTTTCGAAATTTTGAAAGATAATCGGTTTGCATTAAACCATTCTTTCGACAAAAATACATATAATTTTTAGAAAGCCTGTCAACTTCCTGGTAATGCCATAGAATTGTCATCATCCGCAAACGCTGTAAATCCTCCCCTTATTGGAAGATGAGATATGACATTGATAAAAATCAAGAACAAGAGTGGTCCAAGAATTGAGCCATAAGGTAAGCCGATACTCACAGATTCCGCCGAAGAGCTTTCCCCATCGAAAACAACTGAGTCCTACCACTTAAATATGATCGCAGCCACTCTAAAGCCAAACACCCAAATAAATAAAAGTTATGATGATGGAGGATCAGTAATGGTCTAGGCTGGGCTATGATTAATGACGCTTCAAGTGCAGAGGGATACATACGAGATGTTCTACAAAAGCATGTCGCACCATACGGCCCCCATATCGAAAAAAACTTTGGAAATGCACAACAATGCTTGTCCTCACGTAGCTCACCGTGTCTCCGACTTTTTGAATATCGTCGGAATAAGAGAACTGGATTGGCCTACATGTTCGCCAGATCTTAATCCGATCGTTTCTCTCTGAGACATATGTTGGGAAAACGATGCAGATTCAGAATAACCGCAGTTCAAAATCGCGAACAAGTAGCAGCTGCTCTGATTAAGATCTGGCACAATCTGCCCCTAGAGTAACAAACAGAAAATGAGAGCACCTGATAACGTGAACACTGATGAAGGCCGAGCAGTGTCGTATACAGGGGCGGGGCAAAGGGGGCAATTGCCCCCCCCCCCCCAGAGCAACCTTTTATTCCTTTCATTTCTTAAAAATATCTCAAATAACAAAAAAATAATTTTTTTTACTCGCCTGCGCAAAGTTATTACTTTGTACACTCCCTTGCGTAAAATTTTGCCAAGAAAACTCTTCGCGCACTTGCGCACTCATTTTTGTTTGGCATAATTACCGTATTTATACGAGATCAGTGATTTATACTGCATTTTTCAATGTTTTGTAGGTTTCAGGATAAACTAATATTCAAAAAGAAGGGCTTGATGTTTATTTTTGTTCCAAGAAAGGCATTCAGGTAATGGTAATGATTAGCTTTTCTAATTTGACACTTTCCCTATGAGGAGCGAGGGGAAGAAAAATCCAGCAACGATGTCATTGGGTGACTATTGGCGTGGGGAGCCACCAACTCACATTCCTTTGGAGTATCAGATTATAAAAGTTTGACAGTAAGTTATACTCCTCCATATACTTCCCAACCTAATGATGTTGCGGAAAGAATGAATCAGACACCAATGGACATAGCAAAATCTATGATAATGCAAGCAAAAATGGATAGAATATTTTGAGAAGATGCTGTACTTGTTACTATATATAAAACTAATTTGAAAAGTCACATGAGAAAATATCATCCTGGTAAGTTCAGTCTCGAAATTTGGCAGGAAAAACAAATTTCAAGTAAACCTCCCTAGCACAACCACTGTTGCAAATAAAATCAAGCTGATCACTGCAAAAAAAAAAAAAATGAAAACACAGCACATTGAACTAAGAGAGAAAATTACCAGTTTTGAGCATCTGGAAAACATTTAAGAAGATTAGGTACAGCTCCTCTGGATGCTATGCAAATCTTCAAACACTCTTAGAAAAAGTATTGTTCCTAACACTTGCGTAAACTGTCTTTCCTACACTGAAAGCTTTCCGAACTCCGCTTCGCGTCGTTCGTCTAACTGCTTTTTCGTGCGGGAAAGTATCACTTTGCGCACTTGTCAGGAAAATAACTATTTTTATGTAGGTATATTACACACCTTGAACTTAACTTTAGTGGGGTTTTGTATTTTGAGTTGTATGTTACTTGTTTCTTGAAACGACGATTTCTCAGGAAAATAAATAATTTCAGAAATCAATCTCTTATCGTTTCAATGAGCATCCCAAAACTTCTTTCAGTGGCGGCTCGCAGGCTAATAATACGGAACAAATACGAAGACTCCCCTATTTTCTGGTAAAAATATATTTTTTATCCTATAAAAGTATTGGAAGCGCGCGAATATGCCATCAAGATGTGTGATTTTAACGACTTTTGGGCGTGGCACCTCAAAAAAATGTCCGCCTTCGGCGGGCATCTGGTCTGCCCCCCCCCCCTAGTGCCTCAGGCTGGATACGCCACTGAGGCCGAGAGAATGGCGGTATTGAAAGGGTTACAAGCAGGAACCCAGATACCAGGCGTCCTAAACCTGTTTTTATCGATGGACAGGAAACAGAAACTGGGACGACTTAACAATGGACCCATCAAAGATAGATTAACCGCACAAATATGTATTAAAACTGACAAAGGAACATATCAATAATGGAACAGGAATTCCAATGAAGAAAAGGTCACTTTCACACAAATCCAGGGAGCTGACAAACTGAAAAATCTCCCTAGGGACGAAGAAAAAGTCGCAGAGAATACAGCCAGGCAAGTAGAGTCCAACGTGAAACCGAAAGGGACAGAAGGACATTGGAGAAGTGGCAAAGAGTATGCTGCAACCTCGACGAAAGGTTAAGGATCAGAAACCAAATCACAACCGAATATGTTGATGGCGATCTTCGTCTAACCTTGTGAAACGATAATAAAATATTGACAGAACAGATTTTAAAAATAAACAAATGGGTAGAGGCGGCAGTGACAGGCACAGACATGAAGGAATTAGGACGAAGCAACAAATGGTGTTGAAAACTATTCTCAATTTTCAGTAGTTTACTGTTTACTCTACGGGGTGCTTCAAAAAACTCAAAAAATTACTGATTTTCTTTCCATCCCTGTAATAATATAAAGATTCGTGAAGAATCAAGCTTAAATCTATAAAACATACATTGAAATAGAGCGGAGGGTTCGACAGAAAATTGATGTCGAATTTAGTGTAAATTTTGTCCGTTTTCCTAATTTTGCCGGTGTGTGTATATAGGGTGTCCTATTTAAAAAAAAATCGGTCTTTATTCAATATCTCGTAGACGGGCCAAGTGAATAGTACTAAAATAGTGCACACAGGCCTTATGAGGATAGGCCATCCTGTAGTAGTAGTGTTTATCATCCTTGTAGCTTGTACAGGTAGCTAAGCAAGCTTAGTTGCGAGAAATTAGCTTTCTTTGACATTGTTTTGACAGTTGATATTAAACGTCAGAATGTCGGAAAAATGTCACGAATTTCTCGCATTTAAGCTTTGGTGATGCCGCCGAGACGAGAGACCGATTTTTTCTCGAAAAGTCACTTCGAGCAGAGAAAAAAATCTATCTAAATATTTATATCACATCGGTCGATTTTATTGAAACTATTCTCATATATAATTAGAGAAGGCTTGATTATTTCAATGGCGTCCCGAACCTTTTGGCCTTAAGATAAAATAGTACATACGTACTAGTAATATTACATTCTTGTTAAGAAACCAGAATAGGTAGGTACCTAAGCTTTTTGCATTTTCTTGACCTCGGAGATAAAATCAATTTACTATGCGTCAAAACTCACGAGAGACGAGAGAAAAGCTCTCTTCTCTCATACCAAAAGTCTCTCGTTGAGACGAGAGATTCATATTCCCTCGAACCTTCGAGACAAGACGAGAGAGCGGATTCTCGTCTCGTCTCGCGGCATCACTACTAAGCTTATAACAAAATCGAAGATCGATCTTTTCCTTTAACAATTCTCTTAGACAAGAACTATCCTTCCGATTCCGCACATTAGTGAAAATTAAATCCCACTAGGTATTTGCATCCTCCTCATTCACTAAAATTCAGTTTCATTCATGCACATAAATTCACGAATATATGCGTCCTACTTAACCAATATAAATGCCAAGCTGGGCCACTACATAGAAAATGACCAAACCACACGATGCATGTGTGTACTTTAATCCAATTTAACTTAAACGAGCTTTAATAAAAAAGCTGTCGTGGAAATTCCCACTGGCAGTATAACAATAAATCAAGCGAGGAAGTTACAAATAAATCAAATTTGTACCTATTTGAAGACTTGGGGTACGATGACCAATAAATTAATATATGGACAATACTTAGAAGCAGCGCGAGTGAAACATTAATTATTGTTGAAAGATCGGTGACCTCTCTGTATCATCAAAACTTACATAAACATGGAAAATTTTGTCCTGATTTTAATTGGTCGAATCGTTTTTTTTTTTTTTCTCATCCCAAACAAAAGGATCTATAAAAAGAAATGACGGACCTGCAACAGTTTAATCAAAAACCGTTCAAAAAAATCAGTTCTTATCGTAGCTTCATTACAAAAACAAAATAACAATTTATTGTGTCATAGAGTCGCGATAAACCGTATAATAATCATGACTTCACTAAAGCCAGTGATCATTTCTTGGATATTCATTTTTTTGGGATTAATATTTGTGACGAAGTTACAGGGTGGTCCATTGCCCAGAAATTTCACTAAAATGGGCTACAGTTTTGTGAATACCTGTCACGAGGGTGAGATACCTTTGAGAGGAATTTGTAGAAAGGTGGTGAACTTTTATGATGATTAAGGTAAGTTGTTTTATTTATTTTTTTATATATTTTTACTAAAAAATTTGTTTTCTTATTTGCAGATATTTATTCATTAAAAGAATGTTAAACAAAATAAAATAATGTCTTTAATTTTGAAGCTCAAATTCCTGCTAGTTTGTCGCCGAATAACGATAAAAAGTAATTAAAAGTTGGTATTTTAGGGGGTCGCAAGGGGTAAACGACAAACAACCTGTGAAATATTTAATGTTCCGGGAAAGTTATTAAAAAGGGCCGTAAAGTTAAATAAGCCAAAAATTAAGAAAGCTCTCGCTAAGCAATCGGAGGGATTCATAAACACTTTATCTGGCCGGATCCAGGCCCCGGAGGCTTCTATACGATTCCGAAAAGGGAATTTTAAAGTATTAGGGAACGATACCAAGCACGAAGAAATTGTTTACTATAATTTGAAGCTTTTTGGAATCTTTAAGATTTATTGTATAGAGGGTCCTTTTAAGATTCAAAGAGAGTTTTTAGCCTCTGCTTTAGGCTAATTTTTATTTTTTTAGCATGCATTGAAGATACAGATTCGAGTAAGTATTACTTGATTTTATTATGGTACCGATTGTTCGATTCAAGATCAGGTTCTCTTGGTCGCGTAGGTTCCGATCCTACCGACTGCGCCATGTTATTTGTAAGTAAATCGACTGATTTAGTTATGATTTTTAAATGGGTAATTTTGGTTTGTGCTCCTTTTATAGTAGCACATCAAACAAACTAATCCATTACTATTATTGTCATGCATTATAGTAAAAATATATACAGATGAGTGTACGAAAAGTAACAGTACGGTTAATTACGTCTGAAACCACTGGTGCAATTTGAACAATATATGGTACCTGAATGTTATTTAACAAGCCGTATTTAAAAATAGCATCGACGCTGTTGCCAAGCTTACCAATTTTTCAGAAAGCACACAACCTTTTTTATTTTAAATGAAACACTCCACCTATTTTAACCTCCATCGATTGAGATAGAAATAAGTGAAGAATTACATTTTACTCAAGAATGATTGTGTGCCATCAGTAATTTCAAAGATTATCGAAATGCAGGTATTTGCCTTATATAACTTAAATTTTGCAATTGTCTGAAAACATGTAAATTTCTAGGCGTAATTTGCACCTTATTTTTCATTCAACATATATTAAAAATCATAACCCTAAAATAAACGTCAGGCATCTGTGCTTCTTAACTTCTTTAATGCAGATGGTACGTCTTCATCGGTGTCATCATCGTTTTTTTTTTCTCCCGGGTTATAGCTTCGTGGAAGAGGTTGGCCTGTTCTTCGTACTCAGCGTCAGTGTCTTCTTCATTATAGTATGTTTTTGGTGAATTTTCACATGCGGTCCCTACGCAATTCTTGCAGATGGCAGAGCACCGGAGTCCTGTTTTTTTGCAGCTGCAGGCTCCCATGCTATATCCTGTAATACATTTGCAGCAAATGATTTTCAGAATGCAGCATCCATAGTCGTGGTAATAGGGATCACACCAAATAAATAAATATGTATATTTTGAGAAAATCTAGATATAATATACTAACCTCGATTAATCAGGCTCCAGCCCCAAGCAGATGGCAACTTTTGTGAGCTTCCTTCCATTTTTAGCCATGTTTGTACTTGCAGGTATGTCCTATAGAAGTGGTACTTGGCGGCATCTATTGTAGGTGGTAATCTGACAAGTCAAAATTTCGAGTTTGCCAAAATGTTTGATGAGAATGCTCGGTACCGCAGATCCCCCAAATTATCTGCGTCTGAGTAACCACCGTACAATTTCACTATTCACTAGGAACTTCTCTCCAGCTTCAGTAATTTGGTGTGGTCTGCCGTCAGGATCTTTGAGAAAAAAATATTCCTGAGAGCCATGGGTTTTTTTCACAAATTTGCATTACCTTCTTCTTTCCAATTCCGAAGAGTGCTGAAGACGCTGAAGTGGTGTCACATCCACTTCCTGCATGAAGAATAAGAATATCCTGAGTGTTGACTTTGCAGGAATGGGATGAATACAAAACAATGAGGGTGTTACCTCTGCCACTCTTTTGGAAATTAATGTCTTTTTAGAGAAAGCTGATGGTGTCAGTAAAACCAGAAGATCGATGTCTTCTCCTGTTATGATGATACTATCAAAGAGGTAGCAGTTTCCACTATCATGACATCGGCATCTTCTGTTGCCTGCTTCGCCAGAATTCCCTTGGATTCCATTTCAGTAATCAGCATTGTGATGAAGTTTTTCTTGTTGGTATCTGTGATAACCGAGCTTGTGTAAATAAAAGCGAGATTCTACTAAAGCGTTTTATTACTAATATCACAGGAATAAATATAGAGTTGTGCAATTAACAAGAGTTGAGACTATGACCTTTATGGAGGTCGCGGACGGACGCGCAGGAGGAATCAGTTCATGGTTTCATGGGTAGCAATAGACTGCCGCAGCTAGTGTTTTCGTGGTGGTTCGGTATGATGACGGTTGTGACGTCATGGGTTCCCTTTAGCGGCCCCTGGTGTTTACCATAGTTCGTTTGGGTCATCGGAGTTAACCACTTGGCAACCTGGCTGTAGGCTGCCTCATCACAGTATCGTTGAAGAGAATTTTTTTTTGTGAAATGGTAGGAACAGATGTTTTCGAAAACACAAACTTTAACGATGAGTGCAGCAAAGATCGTCGATATCGTTCTACTGCTTTGGTGCTTTGGTAATTTATGCCACCAAGATTGCCCGGAGTGTTTTTGAACATAATCAACGTAATTCTGGCACACCAATTCAAATGTCGTATCTTTTGATTTGCTCCACATAACCTTATGCAGCAGGTACCCACCATCAATAACTGCGCATTTGCTGCTGCCGAAGTCTACTAGTTCTTGTATAGGAGTGAATGCCGCATTCAACATTGACTTTGTGTCCTTGTGCATACCTCTCTCTGTGAAGAGAGACATCGGGAAGGGGGATAGCTCGTATTTCAACAAGTTTCCAAGGTCATCATGTGATTGTTTCATTATGCAGAGAGTGAGAGGGTCTATTGTGAACTTCTTGTCGTTGATTTCCACACAACAGGAAACAGATGCTAGAGAATAGTATATTAAAATACAAGATACAGAAGGCCACATATTCCCGCACGAATTCGAAATTTGGCCACGAGCGACGAAGGAGCGAGTGGACGAACGAATGAGTGCGAGAATAGCCTTCTGCAACGTGTGTTTTATACTATTTTCTCGATTTTGCATTTTATTTTTCATTTTTAAAAAAAAAATTGTGAACGCTGTTAGTTGGGGATTTTTTATTTTCAAAATATGTCAGTTGGTGACACTTACTTACCAATTAACTGACAGGTGGATTCTATCATTTTAGAAGGTTTGACAATTTTGAAGGTACCAATAGCTATACTTTGAAAACTAAATGTCACTAAAAATCGTTGAAGAATGAGCTTCATTCTTCAACGATTTTGCGTGCGGGAATAATGACATTCTCAAATCGAAAAACAATCTTATCTTACCGCTTCAATTTCATGTCTTGAAAATTCCCTTTTTCCAAACAGGTAATATCAATAGTTCGAGCTAAGTGGCAGTTAACAACTTCAGGAGCAACAGCTCCTCTAGCTATTGATAATAGCTCTTTTATATCTGGGAAAGGTGGATGGTCAGCCAACCAATGACTAAGTTTCTTGATGTCGATATTATCCCTGATAACACGGGAAGGCCTCATGTCCACGTGCTGCTCAGTAGTCTCTGAGCGTACTCCTGCAAACAGTTCCATTTTCTCATTGACACTTTGGAGACATATCATACCTACAATTCATCGAGAAATCATACTATCACTGACACCACGAACACAAGTCAGCCCGCCATAGCTCTTCATAGCTCGCATGAGAACCTGTTCTATGGTCATATCTGATCAGATACTGCCCAGAACTTATCGGCTCTACGAATAGTGAAGTATCCCTTAAGTGGCGAACTTTTCGTATTCTTGAAAATCTATTTTCTCTTTCAAGATGATCATATCCTGGTATTACAAGTGTGCACCCTTGGTATAATTCAAGTGGCCTGAAGCATGAAGGTAGGGGATAATTTCTCTGAGAGTCGAGGCGGAGGTTCCAGTCACCCATACGTCCAGCTCTAATGAAATTTTTCATGAGGCTACATAGGTATTGGATCCATAGTGTCGCAGTTGGTCCTCTATCCTCAATTTCGAGGATTCAACTCTCACCGCATGCAATGCTGGATGCTTAAGATCTATATTCGACTTGTGAAAAGAATTGATACCTGTATCCAGTGCAAACGACTCTTCTTCTGTCAATTCCAAAACTTTAAATATCAGACCACCCAAAGCAGCTTAAGCAAGGCTATGTGCACGTACAGCCCTGGTGTAGGCATGTCCAGACAGTATCTTATCAACACTGCTGCAAAAATCTCGCAAAACCTTTGGCACCCATGAATGAGATTAGGAGGTGGAAACCTCCTAGCCTCACAATGACGTTGCTGAACTCTGGAATGGAGGCATATGGTTGCCTCCATTCCAGAGTTCACGAGCCTTCCAATACAATGGTTGGTCAAATGTGACAAGACATGTTTTCTGCTTAATTCGCTTACATTCTTCAATTACAGTGAGGATGGATGTATACACTGTAGAGTAATCACTTGGAGGTGCATTATTGAAAGGGAGGCACAGAATCTTGGAGTATTCATATTTATCATCTTGTTCCCTCAATTCCATGATTTGATTCCAACCGGGTACTGATAAGAAGAGCATGTTTTTTCCAAACAGACGGGCAATATCAGAGGCAGGAGGTACAATGTCCTGTACAGAGCTGATACTTAGTCAAGCAATTTTACAGTTGGGTGGTCAGGTGGTCGGTGATACTGCTTAACTTCAACAGTGCCAGTTTTGCCAATTAGGTCGGCTGTTGGGGTGACTTTCATGCGAACTACAATTATCTCACTGGTCACAGCATTTCGTGGAGTGACGGCCATTATTCCTCCCATGGCGTGGAATGTGCCTTTTCCATCTATCTAGCGTGTTTACATTGAAGTCGGCGTTGTCGAAAATGAACTGGCTGACTCATCAACTATGGCTTTCTCCGCCTGCAGCATATAAGAACCCTCAAGTCTAGAAGCTTCATCATAGGTAGCTGAAAATCCTAACTTCGCTAGGAGGTTAACAAAAAGTTTCAATCCAAACTCCTTGTAAACATACGTTGCAACCCCAATCATAATGGGTGACAGAAATGTTTTTGGTCGGACCGCTAGCATAATGGAATGTGCCAGAACAAGACATTTTCTCTTCCACGATTCCAGTGAACCCTGCTTATTTGTCAAAATGATAGTATGAAAAAGAAGAAGCAGTGTCTCCGGAACAACATAATGAGAATCACCATAAAAATTATCAATTGGGGGGTAAGCTTCAGTGTTAAATGTTTTAGATCGGATATCCTCTAAAATAATTTAACCTGCAGTTTTCACAATTCGATTTCTTTCTTCTTGAGGGTCTCCGTTTTTTTCGTTCAGGTACCACTTGTCAAAC